TATCACACAAACGAAAAATTTGCTATATTGAATTTTTTTAAATTCGAAGATATTAACACCTACTGCTGTGCCTTCTTTGTTTACAAATCTATCAATCACTTGCTTGACAATAATTATTTCCAGTTCCGGAATAATCAGAGATACAACTTAAGGCACCCAGAGCTACTAAGACCACCTCCCATGCACTCCTCTCAGTCCCAGACCTCCATAAAATATCGTGGTGTGAAGGTGTGGAACAACTTACCCCCACACATCCGAGCAAAGACTACGCTCCCTTCCTTTAAATCATCTCTTAAAAAATATTTATTGTCGAAGTATTAATATTTCTTGTAACACTTACTATATTTACAGTAATTAAAAGTGTCATCAACATACCGACGATAGAACAAAGGCTTGTGGGAGGGACATTCAGTAAGCCAAAGCTTCTCGTGGTGACAGAGGAAAGCGTTGGCCAACGTGGGACCTAAAGGTGAACCCATAGCAACACCATAACATTGTTTATAAGCTTTGTCATTAAATTAGATCCCACGTTGGCCAAGCTTTCCTCTGTCACGAAAGCTTTGGCTTACCGAATGTCCTCCAATTTAAGCTTTGTTCTATCGTCGGTATGTTGATGACACTTTTTAATTTTCAGATCACTTGATCACGTCCTATGTTCCTAAATTATTTAACTTCGAAACATGGCAACATCAAATTTATTTTGTGAATTGGAAAAGGAAAATATTCTTCCATTTCTTGATGTTAATATCCACCGTCTTCATAATAGTTTCGAGACAGCCTTATACAGAAAACCAACTTTCACTAGTTTGAGTTCAAAATTTTCATCTTTTATTCCTCTTAATTACAAACGTAATCTAGTACGTACTCTTACCAACAGAGCCTTTAATATATGTTCAAGCTATTTCCACTTGGACATTGAACTAAAATATATATATATTTATATATATATATATATATATATATATATATATATATATATATATATATATATATATATATATATATATATATATATATATATATATATATATATATATATATATATATATATATATATATATATATATATATATATATATATATATATATATATATATATATATATATATATATATAAATATTAAGTGATAACCGTGGTAACATTATGAGATGTTCTTATTTCCACCATAATATTGTACTATTCAGATGATACTAAATGTTTACATAATACTTCCTTGAGATAAATAAATGTTTAGTATATATCAGGCGCCTCAAAAGCTCAGGTTCTCAACTGGCTCAGCCTTGTTAATATTGTTATGTACACCTTTTCACATATCCGTTGAGACATTGTTTACAAACTATTTGACAAATTTCATACCGAATGACAGATGAACACATATCGAATGACAATCTAAAATAACTGTTGGTGGTATGTCATTCTCCAATTGTTACATTCTCAAACTATATGTAGACTGTCGGTTTATTGTTCACGTCTGTCAACTTCATAACTTATGTCAATCTCTTCCTTTAGCATGAACGAACAATTATTTTACATTGTCATTCGATATGTGTTCTGTCATTCGGTTATGAAATTTGTCAAATAGTTATGTAACAATGTCTCAACGGATATGTGAAAAGGTGTATTATCCACTGTGTATCTGTATTTTTCTGGCTAAATAAACTGATTCAATTCAATTCAGGTCTCTTCCTGGTTTATTACCCAGATAAAAGGAGAGATATCTTGGCACTCTGTATGTCTGGTGACCCTGAACAGTTGGTGTCTTGTTGGCACTTCCTTGCAGCAGGCACACTGACCCCTTGTGTTCGGGGGTCACTGTGCTGTTGGGTCGTAGCAGGTCAGGTGGGGTGATGACAATGATAGTTTAGTTAGGGAGGTGTGTGGCGGTGTTGGTGAGGGCGTTTTTTTTTCTTTTTTTTAGATAAAGGAGGTGGTGAAAGAAGAGTAGAGGTGGGAAGGAAGTTATAGTTCGTAAATTGAAGAAGTTTAGGAGGAGGTAAGAGAGTGCGGGCTGACCGCCTAGCTAAGCTAGTAGTGTGTTAGGGTTGTGTCATGGGTTAGTTATTGTCTGTCGGTACAGGCAATACTGTAGACATCCTACCCTATCCCATACATGGGTGTTTTAAGGGCCTTATTTCATATTCCGCCGACCCTACTGGCGGATGCTGGTGGATGGTTGGGGTGAGGGGAGGGGAGGGGAGGGGAGGCGAGGCAGAAGTTACAGCATCCTCTGTGACGTGATAATAAATTTGGGTGTTCATTACAGTGTCCTCTGACGTGTGGTTCACCAGATGATGAAATTAAGTATCAAATAACATAAGAGGAGAAGTTTCTTGTGTGTGTGTGTGTGTGTGTGTGTGTGTGTGTGTGTGTGTGTGTGTGTGTGTGTGTGTCGCTCGTGTACGTGTCTGTGAGTGTATTTCTGTGTTGGGAGGAAGTAAAAGAGATTAATAAGTGAACGGAAGAGTTTTTGAGACTGTCAGAAAATAACACGTGTCTTCATAGCTTCAACGACCCAACCCAGTTTGGTGTAATATGTCGGACTCAGCCTAGTACTACCCCCACAGCCTAGTACTACCCCCACAGCCTAGTACCACCCCCACAGCCTAGTATCACCCTCACAGCCTAGTACTACCCTCACAGCCTAGTACCACCCACAGCCTATATCACCCTCACAGCCTACTATCACCCACAGCACACCCCCACAGCCTAGCACCACCCCTACCCCCACAGTATCACCACAGCCTAGTACAGCCCACCCACAGCCTAGTACTACCCCCACAGCCTAGTATCACCCTCACAGCCTAGCACAGCCCACCCCCCACAGCCTAGTATCACCCTCACAGCCTAGTATCACCCCCCACAGCCTAGTACCACAGCCCCACCCCACAGCCTAGTACTACCCCACAGCCTAGTACTACCCCACAGCCTAGTATCACCCTCACAGCCTAGTATCACCCCCACAGCCTAGTACTACCCTCACAGCCTAGTATCACCCTCACAGCCTAGTACTACCCCACAGTATCACCCTCACAGCCTAGTATCACCCCACAGCCTAGTACACCCTCACAGCCTAGTACACCCCCACAGCCTAGTATCACCCTCACAGCCTAGTATCACCCCTCACAGCCTAGTATCAACACACAGCCTAGTACACAGCCCACACAGCCTAGTACTACCCCCACAGCCTAGCCTAGTATCACCCCCCTAGCACCCTCACCCTCACAGCCTAGTACTCCTACACCCCACAGCCTAGTACTACCCCCACAGCCCACCCCCACAGCCTACCCTCACAGCCTAGTATCACACCCCTCACAGCCTAGTACCACCTAGCCTACTCCTACCCCCACAGCCTCACACCCCACAGCACCCCACCCTCACCCTCACAGCCTAGTATCACCCCCACAGCCTAGTACTACAGCCCTACCCCCACAGTATCACCCCCACAGCCTAGTACCACAGCAGTATCACCCTCACAGCCTAGTATCACCCTCACAGCCTAGTACTACCCCCCACAGCCTAGTACTACCCCCACAGCCTACTACCCCACAGCCTAGTATCACCCTCACCCCCAGCCTACTACCCCCCACAGCCTACCCCCACAGCCTCACCCCCACAACCCCAGTACCCCCACAGCCTAGTATCACCCCCCACAGCCTAGTATCACCCCTCACAGCCTAGTACCCCCCACAGCCTAGTATACCCCCACAGCCTAGTATCACCCTCACAGCCTAGTATCACCCCACAGCCCTAGTATCACCCCCACAGCCTAGTACAGCCTCACCCCTCACACAGCCTAGTATCACCCCCCACAGCCTAGCATATCACAGCCTCACAGCCCCTCACAGCCTAGTCACCCTCACAGCCTACCCCCCACAGCCTAGTATCACCCTCACAGCCTAGTATCACCCCCACAGCCTAATCACCCTCACAGCCCTAGTATCACCCCCACAGCCTAGTATCACCCTATCACAGCCTGGTACTACCCCCACAGCCTAGTATCACCCTCACAGCCTAGTGTCACCCTCACAGCCTAGTATCACCCTCACAGCCTAGTACTACCCTCGCAGCTTGGTAGCCCCACAGCCTGGTATCACCCTCACAGCCTGGTATCACCCTCACAGCCTAGTATCACCCTCACAGCCTAGTACTACCCTCGCAGCTTGGTAGCCCCACAGCCTGGTACCCCCCCACACTGGTGGTACTAGTTGCTCAGGACTCTTCACATTGGTATTGACTCCAAGTACACTTGACCAACCTAGCAGAGTACCAACACACGCGAGGGAAAGTGAAAACAGATACAAAGCCTTGACTGACAAACAAACAAACAAACAAACAAACAGTAAATACATGGACGTAATCCTCTACCTATCTATTTACGGGATAGGTTAGGTTAGGTTAGGTTAGGTTAGGTTAGGTTAGGTTAGGTTTCTTCACTGTTAATCTGGTGGTGTTTATGACTCTTGGTATTGCTTTTAATATTTTTTTTGTTGCTTTTGTTCTGTTTCATATTGCTCCGTGTGTGTTAGTCTCGGGGAAGTTGTGTGTCCAATACGAACGGTTTATTGTTTCGGTCTTATGATATGGCAGTGACAGACTCCTCGTGACAACATTTAAACGGGAAGTATTTATTATCACAGTCCAGGGGGTTGACATGATATAGTGACAGGGCCTAACCAGGAAGTGCCACCGTATAACCAAGGTCACGTACACCAGAGAGATTGACCATATACAGTACAGTGCCGCGTCCTACCGCGTAATGAATCGCGTTGAATGTTGTTGTTTTGGTATCGTTTAATCCCCCAGTGAAGACATGTTACTATAGAACACCAAACTGTATATATAACTTAATAAATTTATCTCCAGAACGCGAATACTGAAGGTGACTGAAGTTCTTGTTAATTTAGTTAGTTTTTCGCATTTCAGGAGAACCCAGTGAAGTGATATCTGTGTTATTGTTGTTGTTTTCATTCATCTTAAATAATTATGCGGTTTTTTTTAGAGAACATGCCGTCTGGTGGTACTATGGCAACGTGGTCGATACTGTACTCTACCGCCTTCACTCCCTCATCTGTAAATTTAGGTACTGTACTCATTTACAGCTGGGTACACTTTGGGTGCCTCGGAATCAACGACCCTTAAAACAATATGAAAGAATTGTACCTTGTAATATATTATTCAGTAATATGTGTTTATTAATGCTGAAGTTACCATATTAACATAGACTACGACCTGTTACTTTCAGTCACTTATTCTCCTGTATCTCACTGGTCAAAGTATCGAACACAAAGAAGCACTGTGTTCAAACTTTCACTATTATGCTGCTGTTTGTGTGTGCTCAGGTGCTCGAAAAAGTTAGTTGCTAAGAAGTACTGAGTCTCGTTATCATTATTCTGTTGTTTATGTTTGCCTAAGTGTGAATGTTAAGAGCTATTGTCATCGAACATTATTTTCGCTTTGTGTTTATTCTCAAGCGCCACGTAAGAGGAACGTGGCCGCGTGTGAGGTGCCTGGCCGGACCACAAGGTCACCACATGTCTACGCAGTGCCACGACCAACGACCTGCTTTAATCTGGGAGAGTGCCAAGTGGGGGTGGATGACCAGTGTACCCAAGCCCAAAGTGGAAAAGGGTGTCACTGTAAGAGGGGAGAGCCAGAGTGCCATTTAGGGATTGACACAGTTGCTAGAACAGGGGAGTACCAGGTAGAGAAGGAGTGCCAGGGAGGGAAGAACGCTAAGAGGCGAGAAAAGGAAGGGTAGGAAACAAGGGAGATTGGGGAGGGTGGCACAACGGGAGGGTAGGAAGCCGGAGTTTTTTTTAGTTTAACAAATTTATTGACAACGCCTGTAGTACAGTTTGCCTATTCTGAGTAATTCAGTCAGGTCTTGACACTGAGGGTGGTATCACTTCTCACTGCCACGCAGGACAGAGGTTCATACACAAAGAAATACATCATATTCATTAACAGCTATATATGTATAGAGGTCAGATTCATGTGGGTAATGTCATTGTTCACTGCCATGCAGGACAGAGGTTCGTACACAAAGAGACGCATCATATTCATTGACACTATATATAGGTCAGATTCATGTGGGTAATGCCACTGTTCACTGCCATGCAGGACAGAGGTTCGTACACAAAGAATGGAAATACATCATATTCATTAGCAGTATATATAGGTCAATGGTTCACATTCATTGGAGTCATATTCTAATTGAAGACTAATCAGTGTGGGCTAGCAAATTTGGCATAAACAGCAAGAATGTCCTCAAGCACCCCTGATTCAATGCGCAGTAGAAGTCCAAAAATCCGGACTGCTTGGGGATTGGGTCGGTGAGGGACAGGGTGGGTGAGAGTGAGGGACAGGGTGGGTGAGAGTGAAGGAATTAATAGATAGATGAATAGATTAACGATTAAAGATTTTAGTAAACGGATAAAAAAGATATGAAAAGTTATTGGTAGAGTAATGGAAGTGTGTAGCGAGACTCCAGGTATATTGAACCACATGCAAGCGACCACCACCAGACGAATTCATTAATCCTGTTCAGTCATAGTCATTGATTTCCGAAAGAGGAGAGAGTAAAACGTGTGTGTGTGTGTGTCCCGTTGGCTATGGTCTCGTGGTGAAAGGTGTGTGGCTTTGGTCTCGTGTGTGGGAAAGGTTGGTTGTATAGCAACATGAAGAAAACGCTGATTTCGTGGTCTCGTGGATATCGTAAACAAAGGGTTGATTGATCCCCCTGGGTTCAGCAGTCGGGCTTGTAGGTTCTGCCCTCTGGTGGCCGAGTTGACAAGTTGTGGTGACGTTATTTGGCATCTTTCAAACGCTTCTGCTGGATTTTTCTCTTATTACAAGGAAAGGAAAATTGAATGAGAGAAAGATGAGTAGAGAAAATAAGTAAAAGAAGGACTAAACTCTTTAAGAAACACAACAGTAAAAAACTCATTAAACCACAACTACCTGTAACACTTAACACAGTTCTCCCACACCTTAACATTCCCCTCGACAAAAAAAAGAAAAGATTACCTAACATTATTTATTACATCCACTAGCTGAACAAATTAACAAACACACGAGGCCTGCGTTGCGCCACACTCATTGGCAATCAAACCAACCACTCACTAGGGCACGAGGGTATGTATATTGGGCCTAATGGGGTGAGGTCACTTTCAGTCTTATTCAGAAACCTGTTTTAATAGAAGGTCACTCACGATAGCCAATAGCCACAACCAAACAACCAACACAGACATCTAGACAACCAGACAGCCACAAGCCAACTCACACAACCAGACAACAAGAAGCCAACTCACACAACCAGACAGCCACAAGCCAACTTAGAGAGCCAGGCAACCACACCTGGCCGTCATATAAGGTAAATTGTCCCACAGGTAGATGATAGTATTGCTACTCTTATATAATTCACCTCGTCCTCAGTCCCTACCTCACAGGGATAAAGTTAAAGACATAAATACGTGTTTGTCAGTATCTCGACCACAGTTATACAGTCACTGCTACAGTCACCACTGACTATTGGTCTACGCACTGTGTATAACCGGTAGAGAGTAGTAACTGGCACACTGCTACAGTCACCACTCACTATTGGCCTACGCACTGTGTATAACCGGTAGAGAGTAGTAACTGGTACACTGCTACAGTCACCACTCACTATTGGTCTACGCACTGTGTATAACCGGTAGAGAGTAGTAACTGGCACACTGCTACAGTCACCACTCACTATTGACCTACGCACTGTGTATAACCGGTAGAGACTTGTAACTGGTACACTGCTACAGTCACCACTCACTATTGGTCTACGCACTGTGTATAACCGGTAGAGATTAGTAACTGGTACATGCGACAGTCACCACTCACTATTGGTCTATGCACTGTGTATAACCGGTAGAGACTAGTAACTGGTACATGCGACAGTCACCACTCACTATTGGTCTACGCACTGTGTATAACCGGTAGAGACTAGTAACTGGTACACTGCTACAGTCACCACTCACTATTGGTCTACGCACTGTGTATAACCGGTAGAGACTAGTAACTGGCACACTGCTACAGTTACCACTCACTATTGGTCTATGCACTGTGTATAACCGGTAGAGACTAGTAACTGGCACACTGCTACAGTCACCACTCACTATTGACCTACGCACTGTGTATAACCGGTAGAGAGTAGTAACTGGCACACTGCTACAGTCACCACTCACTATTGACCTACGCACTGTGTATAACCGGTAGAGACTAGTAACTGGTACACTGCTACAGTCACCACTCACTATTGGTCTACGCACTGTGTATAACCGGTAGAGACTAGTAACTGGTACATGCGACAGTGGACAGTCACCACAGTCACCACTCATTGGTCTACGCACTGTGTATAACCGATAGAGACTAGTAACTGGTACATGCAGTCACCACTCACTATTGGTCTACGCACTGTGTATAACCGGTAGAGACTAGTAACTGGCACACTGCTACAGTCACCACTCACTATAGGCCTACGCACTGTGTATAACCGGTAGAGACTAGTAACTGGTACATGCGACAGTCACCACTCACTATTGGTCTACGCACTGTGTATAACCGGTAGAGACTAGTAACTGGCACACTGCTACAGTCACCACTCACTATAGGCCTACGCACTGTGTATAACCGGTAGAGACTAGTAACTGGTACATGCGACAGTCACCACTCACTATTACTAGTAACTGGTACACTGCTACAGTTACCACTCACTATAGGCCTACGCACTGTGTATAACCGGTAGAGAGTAGTAACTGGCACACTGCTACAGTCACCACTCACTATAGGCCTACGCACTGTGTATAACCGGTAGAGACTAGTAACTGGCACACTGCTACAGTCACCACTCACTATAGGCCTACGCACTGTGTATAACCGGTAGAGAGTAGTAACTGGCACACTGCTACAGTCACCACTCACTATAGGCCTACGCACTGTGTATAACCGGTAGAGACTAGTAACTGGCACACTGCTACAGTCACCACTCACTATAGGCCTACGCACTGTGTATAACCGGTAGAGAGTAGTAACTGGCACACTGCTACAGTCACCACTCACTATAGGCCTACGCACTGTGTATAACCGGTAGAGACTAGTAACTGGCACACTGCTGAGCCAGGTGAGCTTTGAATGAATTTTTAATCACCTGAAAATTAGGCACGTCAGCTTATTTCACCTGATGATTAAACACCCTAACACTACTGGCGGGTTAGGTTAGGTTAGTGGTGTTTAAAAATCAGGTGAAATAAGCTGGGGTTTCAATTCTTCAGATGAAACATAATTTTCTTCGTAAGGAAATGAGTAACACTTCAAGTCTGCTAAAAAATACATATATTGAGCTGCTGACACAGAACTCCATTTTTTAAGTGAATAAGTTCGATTTAGTACAAGGAGGTCAGGTACTTTGTGGCCAAGGTAGGTAGATATCTACCTTGCTTTGTGGCGGCCTCAGAGGAATCAATTTTTGTCCGTGCCTGAAGAAATTGTCGTCTTTATAACTGGTGTACAGTATAGAGCACCAGGCAACGCTGATGTGAGCACATTGTACTGACATTTGTAAGTAATAAGAAATAAATGTAACTCTGAGAGCTATATTAGAAAAATTATTAACACTAGAGTGAATACAATAATGTACATGTTTAAAGACGGCACGGAACCTAATATAGGTATGTACATAAGTATTCTAAACCTGTTAAGGAGATACTACCAAATTTGGTGACTGGTACCTGACCTTGCTCTTAATTACATGATATGGTGTGGACCTGGTGCGTGTGTGTGTGTGTGAGGGGGGCGTCAAAGGAATAAAGTATACTGTATGTCTTTTTTTTTTTTACGGAAATTTAGATTAATGTGTATACGGAGCAGAGGTGTAGACGAACATAGTCACACAATAGTTTGAACATTCTTAGGGTTATCATAACTTACCTAACCTAACCTAACCTAAAATACAACATAACCTACCCTTACACAACTTAACCTAACTTAACATTGTATGTCTCACTTTAATCCTCCACCTCATACTTATACAACGGCTCAAGAGACACAATA